AATAAAAGTGTATCATGCAAGTGGCCATTAAATTGTGCATAAGATACAACTTGAAAAAACAAAACAATTTGGCTTCCAAAGAAATCAGTTGTGTCTTTAAGGAATGAGTGAAGTGAATACAGATGTCTTCGATGGTGAACAGTCCTCCTATTGGTTAAATTCTAACTTCATTTTAAAAATTGCACAAGTTTTTGACCAGATTTTTTAACAAAGGGATAAAACAGGGTGTATAAATGCATAAAGAAATGCTCACCATAAATATTTCTTATGGAAATGGTTTTAAAACAAAACAAGTTAACACTATACTGATTTTTGGGCCTACAATTTAAAAATATAAAACATCTCATGAGGTCACATGGATTAAAAAAAAAGCACGACAAACCAGAATTTTCATTATTGTGTGTGTCTGGGAAGTCAAAGGGAATGACCATTGCAGATCACAGTTCTGCATATCTTCAAAAGTAAAACACACACTTACACTGTAACAGTTAAGTAAAACATACATGTATATAAAGAACTGAATGAAAGATCCAAGATGGCGGCCGACATTACAGCAGGCTGAAGCATCACATCGCTAAAATAAGTCTCTGAGCCTCATCAAGGAGACCCACACCTTCTGAGAGAAGCCAATGGCCACATCCTCAAAGTTCATATCCTGTCGTAATGGGGAGAGTTCAGTTTCTCGCCTAGCATTTTACTTTTATCATACTTCCCACTCTCCATATCCATCTGCTCCCTCCACTCCCACATCACAGAAAATAGCAGGCCTTTCACCCATCAGAGTCACTCTCTTCTTATATTCCTACTGATACTGTGTCTTCCCACAGCAATAAAACAGATGCCCAGATTGATTATACCTGTTATCAGGGGCCCACATTTAGGGTCAACGCAATGGGTGTCACCATGCAGGGGACAGATAAATGTTGGCCGTAAAGACAGATGTGACTGATTTGACACTGGTCTTGTGTAGCAATATCCTTGTTGTCCCGAAGATTCTGCCTCCAAGACCCCGAAAAACAAGCATCACTCGTCACCCTTTTGATTCCAATTCTAGAGTCCTGAGGCCAACACTTTTTGCCACCTGTTCCACATAATTCTTTGTATCACACTTCTCTCATACAGCTTTATTCCCAGAGTCACAACTTCAAAGACAACACATATAAGCTATGTAGAGGAGGGGTTGTTTTCTAATCACCTTTTTTTCAACATTCCAACTCACCTCCTCTGTAATATATTTCTCTCTTACCTTCTCTCTTCCAAAACCCAGTAGACATTTTCAAGTCCAGGTGACACTGATGTATGCTATTGCATTCCTATTGATCACCGTAACAGCCCCACAACAACAGGTAGGTGTGCACCTATATGATACCTAAATTTTGGACCTGGCATATAGTGCCATAACACCTGTCTTTTCAGGAATTACCCTACAATTCCCCATGTTGTATCATCCAGTTAACAGCAGAAATGGACTCAACCTTCATTCCCTCTTATGTCAACATCAGGGATCTGTGGCCATGAATTTATACTCCCTCTCCAAGAGCACATCACTCCTTCTCCCACACCTCTCTCACACGTGCACTCCCGTAGCCCCAGCTCCCATAGACATCTCTTTGGTCTTAGTCATTACTCAGCATGTGTGTTCCAGAGAATGCGTGGCAAGTTCAAACAGTATCAAGTACTATTCTGACTCTGAATGCCCACACCCAAGACACGGCCTTCAGTTCTGCTATGAAGGCCTCGCTCCCAGATTGTTTTTTTTCTTCCACCTCACCTATTGAGAACCACATCAGATCTCAGTTATCCAGAGCCCACCTCTACTGGTGCTGCACTTGATGCCCCTTCTCCACTCACAGCCCTCAGTACTCAAGTCCCACTGCCTATGGTCCTCTACCCCATGGCCAGTGAGTCTCACAGATGCCCACTCCTGCCCATAAGCAAATCAACCAAACTGGATGTTTCTATCTCCCTCTCTCCCTTCCTCTCTGAAATCAATTAAAAAAAGAAGTAAATATGCACCAGCCACAGTTTCACCTCTTTTGAATTACTCTTCTACCTCCAATAAAAAAAAAAAGTAACCTACAACTCCTCCTAGGTCCGTACACTTTACTATTTTTTTAAGTAGTCTCATCTTAAAGTACTCCTCAGAGTTCCAGATGGTCATGAACTGGCCTCGGAAATATCTCATACCCTAATAGGAAAAAATAAAAGATTTTATATTCCCCATGGACATTACTTTTCCCACTATGAATTTCTCCATGTCAGTTGATGGTGCTTTCATACCATCAGGTATTAAATCCAAACCTTTATCTCTCTCTCCAATCACCAAAAGAGAAAATCCAGGTGGCCACACCTAAAACCCTGATCCATAATGCAACTGCTTCTCCCACATCCACAACCACCACTGTGCTCCAGTTACCATCACACTAACCAACACTATCACAGGAGCTTCCGTCCTGGACGTCCTACCACCGTCCTCACACCCATATTGTGCATCATGCTGCAGCCACAGGGAGTCTAATGAGACCTGGGACAGATCACCTGCTCTACTGACCCATCACCAGCAGAAGAGAAACCCAAGTGGTCACAAAACTCCTCTGCACTTGATTCCTGTCCCTGTTTCCAGTTCCTATTTTTAAAAAATGGACCCCTGTTCGTCCCTGAATCAGTTTAGTCTTCACTTCAAGCCTTTGCACATTCTGGAACCCATGCATGGAAGGACCTGTCACACACAATTCCACTGGCTGCCAAAATCAGGTGCCACTCATATGACTCTTGACCTGGACTTAGGGTTCTGGGCTTGGTGTCCCTTCAAGGTCCCCAGGTCCAAGGTCCCCCGAGAAGAGGGGCTGGACAGCCCCAGGACCCCACTATCTCAGAGGCCACGATAGTGTGAGGCCCTGACATAGCCCCACAGCCCAGTTCCCTCAGCGGCTCGCACCTGCAGGAACCTGTGGGAAATAAATGGCTGCTGAGGGCCTGGCATCCACCGCCAGGACCCAGGGGCTCAGGCCTGAGGTCCAGCGCTGCGGAGATGCCGCCTCCCTCAGGGCTGGTCCTCAGGGCGCCTCCTGCTGGGTCGCTGTGTTCACAGCCCCTCCTCCCGCCCTCACTGCCGCCCTCACTCCTGGAGGCGGCTCCTCCTCTGGGCGTTTAGGGAACGTTTAGACCCGCATCTCAGGCCTCATCCCTCTGCTGTTCACAACCACCCACAGCCCCGTCGCCCTGAGCAAGAAAGTAAAACTCCTCCCGGGAACCGCCTCTCGTCCTCTTTGTCGCCTTAAGACACAAACCGGCCTGGGTGTCCCCACCTCCCGGCTCAGTCCCCCCCACGGCCTCACCCGGCGGCACCGCAGCCCGTCGCCCTCCTGCCCCCTCACACCCCGGGTCCCCCACGAGGACTCACTGTGCTGGACGCTGCGCCCTGGGCTGCGGGACCCGAGCGGCGCCGGGAACAGAGGCTGGAGGGTTCAATGGGGTGACGCTGAGTGAACTCTGTCAGCGGAGAGGAGTCGGGGAGGCACGGACGCCCCAATCCCGCCGGTTTGGGGTCAACAAGCCTCAGACACACCCTGCCCAGCGCCGCCTCCAACACGGCCTCCTACTCGCCACCAAGCGCTGAAGCCTGTGAGTCTGTGCACCCACAGAAGAGTTCAAAATGACCGCCAGGAGGAGGACACAGGAAGTCCCGCCCTAACCGGATGTGAGGGCACCAAAATGCTCCTTACCTGGCTGGCTCTGGTGCAGTGCTTTCTGGGTAATGTAGTTTTTGCAATGACTCAGGGGAAGTCCCATCTCAGCCAATGACCCTGGTGAGTATTGGTGTTGAGGCCCCACTAGTGGTGCTGGAGGACAGGATGGGACTGGAGGTCTGTTTAACTGGTTCATACTGACAGATCTCTGAGGGGAGGGGAAGGGCAGGTATGGAATAGATGCACCAAAGAATATGTATACAGGGGGGAATGGGAGACATCTGTAATACTATCAATGATAAAAATTACAGCCTAACTGGTTTCGCTCAGTGGAGAGAGCGAAGGCTTGCAGACTGAAAGGTCCCAGATTCATTTCAGGTCAAGGGCATGTACCTTGGTTGTGGGTCCATCCCCAGTAGTGGGTGTGCAGGAGGCAGCTGATCCATCGATGTTTTTAACTCTCTATCCCTCGCCTTCCGCTCTGTAAAAAAATCAATAAAATATATTTAAAAATAATAAAAAATTTTAAATATTATAGCCCAGCTGGTGTGGCTCAGTGGTTGATCATTGACCTATGAACCAGAAGGTCATGGTTCTGTCCATGGTCAGGACACATAAATGGAATGCAGGCTCATTTCCCAGGGAGAATGGAGGTACAGGATGCAGCCTACCAGTGATTCTCTCTCATCATTGATGGTTTTGTCTCTTCCTCCCCCTTCTTCCCTGAAATCAATTAAAATATTTCTGAATGTATGATTTAAATCAATTGTACTTAAATCAAATTTTAAGAAAGGTTTAAAACTTGAGGATCCCAATAATTTTACTGTTATTAGGAAAGTTCTGTAGCATATTTGCTGCTACTGTATCAGTGTGTTGGAAATAAAATACAATGATGTGCTACTGAAATATTGTATCATGTCCATGATCAGTGTTATCATTTTGGCAATTTAAAACTGACCTCGATGAGAGTATTTACACCAGGAAATAGACAAATGCTATAAACCTCCATATTACTTAATATATTAATGAATGCTTAGACTTAAATAAGAGTGGCTCTGAATATTCACAATGCAGATTAAATGTATAAGTATATGGTATAAGTTGACTTCAGTTGTACATAACATTAAAACTGAGTAAAACAATTTTCCTTCCTGGATTCAAAACTGATGATTCCATACAGCAAAGAGTCACTTGAGTCACTGAGGAATGAGGAAAATTTAAGCACATGTCTTACATCCTCACAGTCTTCTTTCAGTTAAAATAATAAATTTATTTAAGCAATTTGAAAAGGATTATCAGCAGACATTTTAACAAAGCAGATAAAGACAGTGCAAAGAAATGTATGAAAAACTGTTCAACTTAAAAAATTCTTAGTTGGATGGAATTACAATGAAAGTGAGTTACCAATATATGCATTTCCCAGGGTTACTGTTTGAAAAGGTTAACCATTGTATGTCCTTTCAGGGTAGCAGAAAAACTGGAATTTTTATATACTGTGGGGTAGAGGGAAGGCAAAGGGAATGACCACATTGGCTCACAGTTTTTCATATCTTAAATGTAAAACATTAATCTACACAACATTTTGATAGGTAGAACATATGTCTATATAGAGAACTGAGTGCAAATATTCCCATAATATTTATTTATAATACCCTAAGCCAGGAAATAACAAAAAACATAGACAGATCAATAGATAAAGTGATTATTTACAGAACATAGTACTATTCAGAATTAAATAAACTTTTCACATAAGCATTTGTGTTGAATCTCAAAATAACAGCATAGCATGGAGGAAACCAGAATTTTTTAAAGAGAACACATCAAATAGTGCCTATAAAATTAGGAACAATATGAGTGATTCTATTGTAAAAAAAAAAAAAAAAAAAAGGAAAATCCATGACTACATGGAGGACCAAGAAATGCAGAAAGAGAGATTATAACAGGGTATTAGGAAAATATAGGATGA